CGCCGTGAATGTAGTTTGCGGTAGATGTTGAGGCTACGTTCACGGCACTCAAGCTTCTTTTAGATGGACCGTCCACTGCCGGTTTAAGTCAGCCGGTTTTAGTCAATCACAGGCTTAAAATTAAAAGACAAGACAACGCGATTATCCTGCATGCAGTCTTTTTGATCAGCCAGACTCCTGACTTAGATTTATCGGCAAGCTCGATTCCACCCGTTATCAAGGATATTCTAACACGCAGATTTGGATTAAGCATTATTTAAAATTTGTGCTCAATTGTTAATATAGTTTTGTTAATATTGTTACCTTACCTTTTGTTATATTTGCCCTCATCATTCGCAGTGTCATCATTTGTCAGGTAATTTAAAATGATGTCAACAAGTCATTACAACTTGCTAGACAAATTGCGGCACTATAACCATCGTTGGGATCGTTTGTTTTAGTAGAGGTTTTACGGACGGCGCTCATATCTGCATACGGTCATGCGCCGCTGGGATCAAATGACTGGACAGCAAACTAATATGACGTCAGTCAGTGAACATCTGGCGGACACTAATACACAGTGCTAATAGATTTTCCCCTCAATAATTCCCCCCCCCCCTTTTTTCCCCCTCTTTCCCGCCTGTTCATACTCTACTTATACACATCAGCAGCTCTGACAATACTCACTGTAAGAATTCGTGAAGACAGACAGAAAGACACACTACTAAGTGATACATTATAATAATCCAGGTTGTTTGCACTCTGGGAGATGGGGGGAGGGGGAGGGGTCGTGTCTGTTTGCTAAAAAAGCCCAGTATGTTTGTATTGACGCAACAGTCGTCCATGCCGAATTAGCTCGGTGGCAGAGACAAGAGATCAACGCCGAACGAGCCGTGATCCTTGACCGATCGACCATTCGTCGTTTTCCCTACTTACTGTGGGCTAGGGCTCAGAGCTCGCCAGTGTAGTAAGGGGAAACCGACGAACTCTCAATTACGCAACAACGCATTAGGATTATGACAAATAAATGTATTAGCCTACACCCACCAAGATGTTTCAATTGCCCTATCTCGCGTCTGGGCCGTGATATACGAGGGTAAACAAACATTGCAGCGCTCTCGAAAAGCGTGCAATTTTGTCTTTGGGGGTGTGTGTGTGTGTGTGTGTGTGTGTGTGTGTGTGTGTGTGTGCGTGTGTGTGTGTGTGTGTATGAGTGAGAGAAAGAGAGAGAGAGAGAGAGAGAGAGAGACAGGAGGGGGGGGGGGGGGACAAAGGAAGAGAGAAAGGTGAGAGAGAGAGAGAGAGAAACAGACAGACAGACAGACAGGCAGACAGACAGAAAGAGAGAGAGAGAGAGAGTCGGAGAGAGAGAGAGAGAAAGAGAGAAAGTGAGACGCGGAGGGGAAGAGGGAGGGATCAGAGACAAACAGAGAAAGAGAGAGAGAGAGTCGGAGAGAGAGAGAGAGAGAGAGAGAGTCGGAGAGAGAGAGAGACAGGAGGGGGGTTGAAAGGAAGAGAGAAAGGTGAGAGAGTCGGAGAGCTAGAAAATATTACAGATAAAGAAAATACTGGGGATGAGCTAAAAATATTAGGGATAAGTCAGAAAATAGTTGGGATGATCTAGAAAATATTGGATATGAGCTAAATAATACTGGGAAATATTTGGGATAGGCCAGAAAATATTGGGAATGGGCTTGAAAATACTGGGGATGAGCTATAAAATATTTATGGATGAGACAGAGAGAGAGAGAGAGAGACAGACAGACAGACAGACAGACAGACAGACAGACAGACAGACAGACAGACAGACAGACAGACAGACAGACAGGCAGGCAGACAGGCAGACAGACAGAAAGAGAGAGAGAAAGTCGGAGAGAGAGAGAGAGAGAGAGAGAGAGAGAGAGAGAGAGAGAGAGAGAGAGAGAGAGAGAAAGAGTATGTTGGTAAAGGGGGTGGGGGAGAATTATGTGTGAGAGAGAGTTGCAGACCCATGTTCTTCAGTATTGGACAGGGAATGCAGACTACGTACACGGTGCCATGTAAGCCGTGAGGAGACACAGAGACAGTCTATAGTGACATGCTGTGGACAAAGAGAGAGAGAGAGAGAGAGAGAGAGAGAGAGAGAGAGAGAGAGAGAGAGAGAAAGAAATGAGTTGGAAAGAAATGAGTTGGAAAGAGAGGGTGAGTGGTGGAAGGAAGGATGGAGGGGGAAGAAAGTGAGTGAGTGAGAGAGAGAGAGAGAGAGAGAGAGAGAGAGAGAGAGAGAGAATGTTGGTAAAGGGGGTGGGGGAGAATAAAATGTGTGAGAGAGAGTCGCAGACCCATGTTCTTCAGTATTGGACAGGGAATGCAGAGGGCAAGGTGAAAAGAAGAAAAACTGAGGTGTTTGTGTAGATATAACAAAAACAACTTTCCAGCTTCTTTAATTTGGTGTCACTTCGATTTCTCAACATACTTGCTTTATTTCATACATATATACATATTCAATGTTCGTTGAGGCACAGGTCTGAAGTAAAAAGAAGAAACCAAACAAACCTGGCGTTAGATCGCTCAATCCAGAGGAATATACACGGAACAAAACAGGTAAGCTCACCAAAGGAAAGTCATATTATAAAACACTGAATTTTCATATTGGATTTAAGTGAAAAATCAATCTACATATTATAAAAACTTGTCATTCTGAGCATTTTGATACCAAACTCATTGCAATAGGATGGTATTTCAGGAAATTATGAATGCGTTTTTGATAACTCCACCATTTTTCGTCCAATCTTCATGAAATTTTCACAGAATGAAGAGAAGATGTAATACTAAACATTTGTCTGTTGAATTTTTCATGTGGAATAGATTTTTGTTGATGGTGTCTTGAATGTGGATTTTTACGGATTTTTTGCAAACTTGAATGCTACCTCAGGAAAAATTTCATTAAAAATTTTCTTTATAAATATCTAATTTGTTTTTAAAGGAAAGAAACAACAGACAAATTTTTAGATCTAGTGTTTGTCAACACCATTTTGGGTGCATACACCCGGCCATTAAAATTAGAAATGTGTTCTTTGATGCACATAAAAATAAAAGGTGTTGAGTAAAAAAACAAAAGAAAAAATTTATAGAAATTGCCCAACTGACGGAAAAAATTTTAGTTTCTATAATTTCATTATTTTGACAAGCGCGCCTGATTCCACTATGATGCATAAACAGATATGATTTGTTATATTTTTCTGTTGCCCAGCCTAGGCTATGTATCTAGATCTATTTAGCTCCTCACTTTCGTCTAATCATGGTTAACACAAGATATATAAATCAAATTTCTCTGTTTAATTTTCTTAGATCTTTGCGCATACAAGTCTAGGTTCCGACCTGTGTGTTATTGGGTTTTTTTTGGTTTTTTTAATAAATGAATTAAATGTAAGCTTAAAGCGATTCCAAATAATTATAGGGGATTTACAGCTTACACTTAAACTTTAAAAGGTTAACCTATTTTCATCAACATCACACAGTACATCTAAAGATCGTATACCAAAGATTTTCCACTAGATCTAGTAGAGAATACACCGGTCCATCAAATAGGTAGTTGACCTACTTTTCGAAACTCACATGGAGACATCTAGACAGTCTTGGAATGAAATCTACAAACTTACACTGAAAAGTGGAGGCAGAGTGGTGTTGCTTTGTCAAAATTAGCAATTTTTAGCTCATTATTATATATATTATTGCTGTAAATTAATTTTAATGGTTGGGTGTATGCACGCAAAATGGTGTTTTTTTAACGGACTTAAATGGAATTTTTTTTTACTAGAGTCTATAGGCTCAAGATTTTTTTAAAACTAGTTTTGTTTGGTAGCTGGCCAACAGAAGTGCTCTATGCAAAGTTTTGCAGGCATAGAGGTAAATCAGTATATGAGTTTAAATCTTTTTAACACGGACAGACAAAATTGAGAAAACTATAAATAATAGCAAATTATATTTTTGTTTTTACAGTTTTTAATCTGCCTCACGCATTGTATGTCGTAACTGTTTTTTCTTGGGTGTGAACCCTGAAATGTGGTTTGGATTAGGCCTTCTATTCTATTAGGTGCCCTAATGACTGTCACTATGACGATCATAATTGAAGGTCAAATTTGAATAGAGTTTTTTTTGTTGTTTTTTAAATTGCACAATGCATGTCATATATATTATATTCATAATTTTATTTTTATCATTATATAGATAGATGTAGGCCCATCATCCTTTTCTTCAGGCGCGGTTTGTCCATAGAGCACAGTTGTGCAGCGCCGGCCAAAATTTTTTAATGTTCTATTGCGAAAAGCACCCACAAACATGAAATTTTAAAAAGTCAGAAACAAACACTATTCAAATAATATAGTATCAAAACAAGGTCCTCGCTGGCTCTGTAACTCACTGTCATTTTTTTGGGATCAAAAGCGCCGTAAAACATCTACTATGCCATGCCAAAGTCCACACGCTTTAACTAAACGTAATAGGATATTCAACAGTGGCAATCTGACTTATAAATTGCTCTTTGGGATAACCCAAGCAATGACGACACTCGTAGCGAGTTTAGCGGTACATGAATATTAATTAGACGGCACATCTCAAATGTGCACCCACGAACCATAGCTTGTACACTATTCTATGCCAAAATTATGTGTTCCCCGCAGCAATCCAGCGCGTGCTCAAGTGAATTGTGATTGGTTCTTTGGCCTGCTACTATTTTAAGCGACTCTGTGACCGTGAACCTCGAGAGAGGTGAACATGACATATACTTAAGTCACCGTCCTATGGGTTGTGCCTTCGAATGGTTTTGAAGTGGGGTGATGGGGTGGTGAAAGTTATTTCTTGAGTGCTTAGTGCCAATGCAGGATAAAGAAATTGATGTTTAGCTAACAAACAGATTTAGTTTTAGAAATCTAAGCGACAAGTAAAAAGAATGAAAATTAAAGCATAAGGTCCTCCTTCACCAACCCAACGAGCCTACCATCCTATTTACTATGCCCTTGACTATCTTCAACCTGCTTTTGCTTAATTGTGCACGCCCACTTTTTAGCCCCACGAGCCGCCCCTGCTTTTCTTCTTATATTAAAGATTTGTTCTTCCCGAAGCCTCACGTCTTGTCTCCCGTCCATGATCAAAGTCCCACCTAGATCTATATAAAAACCACGAAAAAAGACAGTGAGTCAATTGGATCAGGTGATGTGCAGGTTGTTTTCGGGAATTCAAGGAATGTCGTCAGTGCTGGATTTACCATCCGTCCTATTTATAGGTTGACTGCTCCGCCAATCAAAACTCGTTGAAGAGAAGAGTCAGTTCTTTAAATAGAATGTAGGCACTATGTCTTTTTCTGGAAAATGGAAAGTCAAAATATGACCCTGTGTCTGTGTGGCATCGACTTGTCGGGCGTTCAGCCTTTGTAAATTATGTAGGCCGAAACCAACAGAAGTTTTACAGCTTGTCAGCATTGTCGGTCATTCAGTGGTATAAGGTTTCGGTTTCTGTCGTCGCGAAAAGAGGTTACCAGATACTTACAGACACAGGCCCCGTTCGGCTCAGTCTAGTGAAAGGAATTATCCCATGATCATCGATTCGGAATCAAGATCTCTAGATCGTAGTATAGATCTGACTAGATACCTGGACGAAGATTCAGTTCATTGACATATATATGTGCCACTTGTTGTTATATATTCCTTTGACTACAAGGTGTTATTATATAAGTCGGTCCTGGACATTCTTGGACATTCTCTCAGTTCAGCTTGGAAACGATTCTGGTTTCACAGGGTAAGCTTGTCCATATTTTATTAACATTAGGTTACAGGCATCACTCGTCACTGACGTTGTAGAGTTTGGCTTTTTGATTGCTAACCATTTCATGTTTAGACACTGGTTTAATTAGATCTAGTATTTTTCAATTCACAAGCCACCTGACTGCTGTGTTTCCATGACAGCGTTGACTGTGTTGCGACCTAATAAGTTACTCTGTTTCCATTGATTGTTCGATCTGCGGGGACAAGAATTTGAAAAAAAAAAAAAACTAAAACGTTGAAAAGGTGACATTATTTTGCCCACTGTTTACTGGTGCCTATAGCTCTTCTTGCAGGCAAATTAAATTATAGGTAGGCTATTCTTTTTTTTTTTAATCTGACATTATGCTCATTTTTCAGCCACCTAAACTTTGCCTAGGATTAATAATTTTACTTTTCCATGAAAATTCTTCTCATTTCATGATCGATTCATGCGAACAGAACATATGAAACCGAGAGATAAAGCTTCTATTCCATAACATAGAATATCTGCACATATCTTATGTCTTGACATTGACTGTCAACTTTCCATCCCAGTTTCCCTGCTTTCCAGTGCCTCCTAAAATCACAGAGGTAGTCATGATCTCGATACAAAATATATTAATGTTGTGCCTTTGGTTGACAACCGAAGAATATAACAGGGTAATGAGGGATCTACTTTGGTTGGATAAACAGCCCATTGCAGTTGAGTTGGTTCAACTTACAGGAACAAGATGAAGAATTGGGAAACCTGAAGGAAAATATTTAGAATTGTGACAACTTTATTGCAGTGTGACTCTTTATGTTTTTTAGCCCCAGGACATTGTAGATTTAAAGACAAGTTCAATTTAGATTTCATAAGTTATTGAAATGTTTGGACAGGTTGCTAGTTTTACTCCCCCCCCCCCCCCCCCCGTACATCATACTTATTTTAGTTTATTTCAATTGAGATTACATTGTATACCCACGCCTATTGACTGTTGTTGTTACTCATGCTACAAATAATGCGTGAATTCAGATGCTTTTATTTTTAACCCAAGAAGCCCAGTGTATTCTGTCGATATATTAGACTAGTGTTGAATTTTCAGCACTGTGTCTCTACTTTCCAAGTCTTAAAATTTGAATTACAGAGGTTGTCTCAATATCAATGTGTGAGTTGTGTTGGTTCTCGGTGCCAAGCCTCATGACTATAGTAAAGAAAGTAGTTAAGTCTAAACTGTGTTAGATCTATAGGTAGACGCGTTCTCCGACAGGATGGACAGCCGTTGTCGCGCAAGCCCTAAGGTATCGATTGTTAATTCCTAAATTATTTAGATCTAAATTTACTAGCTAGTGAGCTATCATGTTAAAGTATATTTTGATTTACTAGCTAGTGAGCTATGATATTGGTATCTGTCGACATTCCTTTGTAGAACTGTGGCCACGACAAGAGTACATTTTGGTCGGAAGGCCTGTAGCCTAGGAACAAGTATTGGGAAAAACCCAAACTACGCCACGGGTTCAAAATGGCGGCGACTACCCCTGCAAGCAGAGACCGTAAGGTTCTCTCGATTTCAATAGATCTGTAGCAGCTTTTCATAGACATGCACTATTAAAATTGATATTTTAGGTATCTAGGCCTAATTACTTTGTTTCTTAGGGATTAGTGCCAGTATGGAATCTCTTAGAAGAAAAAAAAACAAGAATCGGGAAAACCCAGTCGAGAAGTCAAAACGGAGAGACAACGTTGTTCTCCAAGCATTTCAAACTGCAATCACAGATATGGTCATGATCTCATTGCATAGCAGTTATTCATAGACATGTTACGTATGCTGTCACTATTAATAGTTCAAGCTATGCAATATCATAGTTTCTTAGTGCTTACTATAGGCCATGGAAGTCTGTGGTAGCGACTCAGTCTTTTACTCACGAAGAACAAGAATCGGGAAAACCCAGTCCAAACGTTAAAATGAGGACGACGTTTTTTCTGCATTTCTGATCATTTCAATACAAAATAATCACATGTGTAATAATAACAATATTAATCTCAATAGCACTCTTGTTGTTTCTCAGTACACACAAGGACACTCTTTGAACTATAGAAAGTAGGCAAATATTCTAACTGGAAGCACTTGTAGTTGAATGAACAGTTTGTTGAGTATTTTGACAATGTTGTAATAATTACACTACATGAGTAGGCTACTTAATCATTTTCGCGCGTCACCTTATATTGACCCACGTTATCGAGTGATCATAGTTCTCTCAGATGTTCATTGAAGGAAAAACAACTATTTGTTATAATAGTAATAGCTATCCTTACTCCACCCACCCATGCTTGTTTCTCACATGTACTTTATTTCTTTTGCAGCTGCTTTTGAGCCTGCTTCTCAGTGCGAACTCCTGTGAAATTACTGTGACAGATTGGTGACTTATACAATGGATTCAGACGAACCACAGAAAGGAAAGAGGGGCAGGAAGAGACAAAATGATGAGGTATCATACCGATAGCTTCATTTAAAAGAATTTTAGTTTTTGACTTTAATGTAAATGATTTGTCATGTGCTTTTGTGACCCAACTAATGTGTTTAGCTGTAGCCTACTGATATAATGGTGTAGTCTACTGTAAGAGTTGTACGGTAGAGATTCTTTGAATCTGGATTGCCACTTAAGTTGCGTTTTTGATTCCGTATTTCACCGGATCATCATTTAACTGGCGTTTCTGGGGTGCGTATGTTGTCAACATCAAGATCTACACCTGATCTTGTGCAGCATTTACTACCTATTTGCATTCATATTGTGATTGTCTGTCCAATTGTGAATAGCTTGAGTACTCACACAGACAAATCATTAATATTTGACTGAATTTTAGCCGTTTTAAGATAACACCCTCGCCGCTGAATGCGTAAAATTATGGAATCGTTGCATACCGAAAGAGTTAAGATTTGAACTATTGCCTTCTGCTGTCTTTTATTCTGTTTGCTTTCTAGCTATTTGGTAAATTACATATGTTGAAGTCAAAGCATAATATTAATACTTTCCTCTTGAGGTATTATATTGCATATTGAAAGTATTCTTTTTTAATTTTTCCCTCTCAAAACTTAGTATTCCTCAAATGACCCATGTTCGTTTTATAGGCATCATGGAGAAATTAGGCACTCGTCAGGATAATGAAATCCAAGGAATCGACTTTTTTCGGCCAGTTTGGAAGGGGTTTTTTTCAAATTTTTGTTTTTTGCCGCAACACCGTGTATGCTCATTCAAAAACACTTTTTCCCCGCGGGGCAGTGCCACTGACTGTAGTGTCTTTAGGCCATTCCCAAAGGGGGGACATTTCTCGTTCAAGCACAGTAGAATTGTAAACTGGCTGATTCATGTCACGCTCATAACTGTGCCTGATCTACAACAGGGAACTGCTGCTTTCTTTCCTAATCCTTACTATTGTCATTTTCCTCTACTTCTTTTGTTTGTTTGTCACGCTCTTGTGACCTGCTATTTCCGGGGTGCCTTGATAGTTGAAGCAAACCTTGTGCTGTTGAAGCTTGAGAGGTGAGCCGAGTAAGTCTGATTCCCTGTAAAGACTTCTCTGTTGACACCCACCCCTTGGCACTCATATGACCTTATGCAGTTGCGAGCGCCGTAAAACCCTCTACTATGATAATAATAATAAAAACACTTGTATGTGTGAATTTTATGGTAAACGTTGATTAGAAGCACGAAAAAATAAACTTGAAGTTTCCAAGGACTCTTCAACTATCGAAGTCACCAAACTTTGGCAGGCATTTTCTCGCTAATTTTATTTCTGAAACCAGGCGACCCCACCTCCTTCAATCGCAAAAATGTTTTGACTTTTATTCAAGATAGTTGGATATTTTTTCATCGAAAGCAAGGCAAATGAACAGCCTTTAAGATGGTACATGTACCAGTAACTCCTTATGCCCAAAATTGACAAGCGCCTGATTCCACTGCGTCGTGACACATATGTCAGTAAGCATGCTTTGTATCCCATTTAGATTAGTTTCTGTTTTTGTCCAAGCAAGGTATCTAAATGAAGTCAGAATGATGTAGTAAGAGCAGTAATAAGTGAAATATATATAGCTTTTGAAAACCAGTTATTTACCCCATCCAAATTTTAATTGTTGTCTTAATGTCCACTGCCAGTAACACCAAGCTGTTCTGTTTTTGTTTTTTCAGGAAAGTTTAACAGGTGAAGAACTGAAGAAAAAACAAAAAAACAGAGATGCTGCTAAGAAATGCAGACAAAAGAAAGTGAAGGAGGCTGAAGATTTAAAACAGGTAAAATTATTACGGCACTGTACAGTTTTCTGAACATTTGCTCCATACTGATTTCCTTCTTTCTTCTACTATGCTTAAAGAATGCCATAAAAAAACACCCTCTAATATAATGTGAACAAGATAAATTACTTGGTTGGTGATATTACTTGGGTCTCTCTCTCTCTCTCTCTCTCTCTCTCTCTCTCTCTCTCTCTCTCTCTCTCTCTCTCTCTCTCTCTCTCTCTCTCTCTCTCTCTCTCTCTCTCTCTCTCTCCTCTCTCTCTCTCTCTCTCTCTCTCTCTCTCTCTCTCTCTCTCTCTCTCTCTCTCTCCAGCCATAAATGTGAAAGGAAACAAAGTTATGGATGCTTGAGGTTCCATTTATCACATAGATTTGAATATCAAATTTCAGTTATATTTATTTCATCTTAGATTAATATTTCTTTTCTTCACATTATAGTGCTCGTGGTTGGAGGGTGCCACTAGTATGTCTTACTTCTTCACTTTCCCTCGGTTTTTTCCGTCTGCCTGTTCTATTTTCCCCCCAGCACTAAATGGCCATTATAGTGTCTATGTGTTTTTCTTTACTAAAAAAAAACCCATTAAATGTCAGGCATTGTGGTGAAATCAGACACTGGTCAAAATAATGAAATCAAAGAAATCAGCATTTTTTGGGCGGATGGTCAATTTTTTTCTCATTTTCTTTTATTGGCTCAACATCTTTTATATCTTTTTAAAAACACATTTTTTAAGTTGATTTTCTTAAGAACATTAATGAGAGGCACAAAAACAATTGATTTTCAGTTTCCAAGGACTCTCAGGCTATGGAAATTACCAAACTTTGGTAGCCATTTTCTAGCTAATTTTACCTCTGAAACCAGGTGACCCAGACCTCCTTCAACGCAAATAACTTGACTTCTATTCAACAAAGATAGATTATTTTTTTTCACCAAAAGGAAGGTGATTGAACAGGCTTTAAGATGATACCAATAGCCCCATATGCCCAAAAATTGACAAAGGCCTAATTCCACCAGGTGGTGAAACATATTATAATAAAACATTATGTTATAATACAAAGTCAAAATTAATTGAATTTAACTTCTGATATAGTTGTGCTTTTCCCTTTTCATACAGAACCTGTGTTCGATTTCTTGGTGGGGAAGATTGTTTAATTGTGTATATTTATCTCTGCTTTTTTATTTTGTGAAAGTGAGCTTTGTTTCAATTATCAAATATAACTATCATGCTCTATGTGTTCAGTTGATCTGAATTACTAATCATTTTTATCCTATTTTTCTTTGTTGCAGAGGAATAATCAGTTGGAAAATGAAAATGAGGATCTTTCGAAGAGAAAAATTCATTTAGAAGAAGAGGTCAACAAACTGTCACAAATTATTCGAGATCACATGAAAAGAGGATGTCAACTACCCGTTCATGTGAGGTCCATCTTGGAGAATTCATGCTCCAACTCTACTCACAGTCATCTCCATGATGCTTCTGCTGTACAGCCCACGGTCACTGCTGTTCCACAGAATCTTCCTGAATCTGATTCCTTTACTTCAAAACCGCCTGCAGCTGTAATGCTCTTCAGTGGAAAACCTATCCAAGAGGGCACAAGGAGCAGACCGCAGCAGTCAGTGTCCATTGTAAGGAGCCCTTCCTCCCAGTCCCCATCACCCAGAACGGTCACTCCCAATCAAGGGGTGAACCAAGGTGCTCTAAGTGAGCCAGGAGAACAATTAGACTTAAGTGACTTTCTGATGAAAGGCGCTGCCATTCCTCAGTCTGGACCTCTAGCGCCGGTCCGTCACATCGTTGACAATCCCCCGCGAATGCAGCTGCGGAATCAGTATTCCTCCGAGTCGAGCAGCAGTGCTATGAGTATTCCTTCTGTCGTGTATGAGGAGAACGACATTGACGAGACCTCTGTCAGCCATCAGATGTCTGTGAGAAGTTCTGGTTTGAACATGAATGAACTCATGAACAGAGCTTTGAGAAAATCCAGAGAGGAGCCTGGTATTGAAGCTGAGACTCACACGAACAGTTTTTATGACCAGAATGTCGAGAATTACGGCAGCCTGTACAACACAGACAATGTTACCAATGTTATTGTGAGTGATGGTGTGCAACAAATTGTTGTTGGTGGCTCCTCAATTAACCCCTCCTATATGGAGAACCAAGTGGTTCCTGGTAACGTTGCAGTTACAAGTGGTCAGAATATTGTGGTCCAAAGAATGATGGTTAGTGGCACACCACAACCTTCAGCAGACAATGGCTCTTTGAATATCTCAACGGCAGAGCTGCTGGCCCCAGCCTTGTTGAACATTTCTCCTTCGGAGATGTCGCCCTCCCTTCAGCAACAAATTAAAAGTAACTACAGCACTTCTTCCAGGTCTTCCGTGTCCTCCTCCCCATCTTTGTCGTTGTCTTCTCAACAGATTGCCAACACTTCTGCCACAGAATTCCAAGTGGACCACTCACAGAGTGAACAGATAAGTCAGCATGCTGTGTACGCTCAGAGTCCGCAAGACCAAATGCTTCTGATGCAACAACAGCAGCAGCAGCCTGTACAAACTGTTGATGTTCCCATGGCTCGTCCTACTCAGAACCAATCTGCATCTAATGTGCAGAATTCCAACAAACCACTCATTGTAAAGAAAGATGGTAACATTTTAGTGTTGGAGCCCAAACCCAATGGTAAACATTTAGTGCACCACTTAAAAGGCAAAGAGCTTGTCAATACTGGTATTGAAGTAGATATTAAGAGGAACCACCAAGGCACTGTGGCTCAAACTGAACTACAAACTGCCTCAGTACCTCATGTTGTCAATGGTGTAGGTATGGAAGTAACCAGGATGGGAACACAGTCTGTAGAGAGTCAACCAAATAGTGCTGCTTTTGTGGTCAACTCTGAGCAGACAAACCAGTCTCTGTATGTTCAAGTACCATCTAGTGGTGCCACACAGGTACCGGTAGACCGTTTGGCCCTTCCCGGTATGACTTACACCATAGAAACGCAGATTATGTAATTTTCCCCTATATGGTATAGCAAAGCCAACCCAAAAGTACTGTCAAAATTGTCTAAGACGGCCGCCTACCGTTGAGAAGAAAAATGGTAATTCTAGACAGATGGACGTCTTGCAGAATGTCATTACAATATTACCCACCCACCCCAAAAAAAAAAAATACACAGGAGCTGATGAGCGGGAAATGATCAGCTGTAGAGTCTTTTATATTTATACATATGTTCTTATACCGTGGTTAATGGTATTACTGTACACCAGGCGTTTTTCATGTTCTACATGAATTTTCAGTTTTTGTGATTTTGAAAGAAACCTGTGAATTCCAAGTCATGAAATGTTAGAGTATTATTTGAGTGTTATTAAGACTATACTTTGTCTTTAAATGTCTATCTTATTTAACTTGTTTTCTGCACTTCGTGGCATTGGAGTTCAATTGCAATGAAAAATTAGATGGCTGTATACTAGTATACATCTAGAAGTATTTCAGACAGCATAAATTACACTGAGCAATTCAGATCGCAAATTCGAAATGTTCAGGAAAAACTAAATGTGCGAAAAAATAAAGAGCGTATGTGAAAAAAGCCTGGTGTACAGTATGTTGTTTTGTTTATTAACCTGTTCATGTTTTATACATACGGATGAACACAATTCATCTCCTCATCAGTGTCAAACCTGTTCTTGAAAAAGAATGTGTCCTTTTTGTCATGTTTTATTATTTCTACATTCATGGTCAGTTTCTATGTGTACCAGTTCCTATATAATATATGGTACTTTGTGCGCATTGCTGTTCATAGTAATCATAGTTCCTGTTTATCATTTTGGACACAACTTGATAACTTTGACATTTAATATAGCGTAAAGCGCATAGAGCCTGCTGTTGAGCGGGGATATGCGCTATACAAATGCTATCTATTATTATTATTATTATTATCTTTGTTGCCTATGTTTCAGTTTGACTGTACATAATGATCCAAAGAAGGGTTTCAAGTAATTGGTGGTAGTCCTGACTTTGTTTTACCTTACACTTGTCTCTTTTGCCGTTTATGTTTACTGCATTGTTTTCGTGAATTCTTTTTGCGGAAACACAATGTATTTTTTCAGGTACTGTTCATTATAAATTATAATGTGACAATGTACACGTCTTGACATTTCAGATTAGTGATTGAAATCTCTGATGAAAATGTCTTGCAGACTCGCACTTGTAAAACAAGCTATTTACATTAGTGAGGAAAGTGATTTGTGCCGATCTTGCAGATGAAACTTGGCTTGTTGTGTCATTACTGCTGATTACTGTACTACTTTAGACTTGGACTGAGTATTTGAAACCCATGACTGCCAGAAATAGTATGAAAGTCAAAAAGAGTTAGTCACACATTATTTATTCATAATTGGAACAATGATGTTGTTTGAGTTAGTTAGCAACAATGTCATGAACCAGTGAATATACAGTGCAGCCTCTCTATAATGACATGATTGTCAAATATTACTGAATATATAAGGGAAAAATCGGGATTGGGCCCCGTGTCGCTATACAAAAGGATGTCGTTATGTCGGAGGTCGATATAGAGAGGCTGCACTGTAAGTGTATTGCACACTAGTTTTTACAGATAAAATTTCAAGAGCTTCTTTGCACGGTATGTCTATTATGTAACTATGTAAATTTGTTTTTCATTTTGTCATTTCATAAGAGCCATTTGCATATTATTTCATTCTTTAAAAAATGATACCTCGTTTCTCTTCTAAAATAATGTTATAGATTTCGTATTTGTGCTGTATTCAACGTGTGGTGTGCTATGATTTAAAAATCAAATCTTATCTTTTTCTTACAGCGGACAGCTTAAATACGGCTTGAAAAATAAAAATATTTTAAAAATATTCTGAATATTAACAGCAGACGCAAACTACTTATATAAAACAACAAAATGAAGTGATCAGCAAGCTGTTTGAATGTGCTAACCCTAGACAGCAAATCTTTTCAGGAGAGAGAAAAAATAACATGTTTTCATTCTTTAACCCCATCTGTACGTCGTGTTGTACTCTCGTATCCATACGACGTGGGGTACTCTGTGCCACCACTTTCCAAGACGAAATTTACGGGTTAATCCGATCTGTACATTTTGCTTAGCAGTCTGTCAAAATGATTTTTTGAGAAATACTGAAAGTTTCAAAGAGATCTTCGTACTAGAAGTATTCTAAAATGTGAAGAATACAACTGGGGTGTACAAAATGACCCCAGGGCGTACAGATAGGGTTAGCAATAGCTTTTCTTTTCTTTCTTTCTTTTATCATCATTTAGAAATTGAATTTCAACAGCAAAATGCTCCTTTAGCAAATGCAGCTGATACCACCGATTGAGAAACTATGATAAATACAAATATTTCAATTTAGGGTTTAGAACATCTGGACAGCTGGTTGATGAAACAGGCCGTATGCTTTTCTGGAAACCAGTAAGAAAATGTAATTGAAATTTTGCTTGATTATTTTTGTTTAAAGAATTTTCTGTCTAAAATAAATCAGTTACCCTTGCTTATATAATCTTTGTTGAATTGCTTTTTGTTACTTGTGTAAACTATGTTTCATGAGTGCAATATTTTTTTTCATCCGATTTTTAGAAGTTTCATAACTCATCTGTTTTTACTTCACTCTTTCTTAATTCTGATGACTTTAAATATCTTGATTCCTTTCAAATGTTTGGAGGTCAGCGCTGCTGCTTGTTTTCTCTTCAAAGTGTCTACCGGAAAGCTTTATGTTTGAGAGGTCTCTGATTTCTTTTTAAGTTCATAATAAAAAGGTGAAGCATTGTGGTGAAATCAGGCGCTTGTCTAAAAAATGAGATTGAAGAAACCAACATTTTTCTGCCCATTGGACAATTTTTAATAGATATCTCTTATGTCTTTTTAAAAACACTTTCTTGCTTGGATTTTACTGAAAAAATGTTGATCAGAAACACACACACAAAAAAAATGTAAACTTGCAGTTCCCAAGAACACTCAGGCTTTTTTAATCACCTAACTTTGGCAGTTATTTGCTTACTTATTGTTCGTCTGACACCAAACAACCTCCTTCCATCTGGACATCTATTCAAAATACATGGGTACCTTTTCATCAAAAGCATGGAAATAACTCCTTGTGCCCTAAAATTGACGAGCGTCTGGTACCAACATGTTGCTAGTGTCATAAAACTCCTACTAAAACTTTTAAAAACCTTTACCTTACTTCCTTACGTTCATTCCCACCTTTTTCCTTTTGTTGTGTACTTCTCAAGAAATAATTTATTGTCACTGCCAAACTTCATTGCCAAACCAAGTCTCTCAGTTGCAGAATAATCTCAACTTTTTGTATGCTTGACAAATAAATTTTACTTACTACCTCCTCGTTTCAGAAGAAACTGGTGTTTGTAGTGCACTAGTTAGGCTCATCTTCGTTGCACCCTAGAACTGTGAGTTTGATTCCCGCTTGAGAAGTTATTTGTTCTAGTCTTTTCATCTGTCCGTCAAGATAACATAAAATAAGATACATCTTTATTGTCCAGATCCTGGCACATTGGTTTGGTGATTTCACCACGTACACACATACACGCTCACACGCACGCACTCACAAACATGCACACACACGCAGTATGCTTGCACTCACCAACAGGCTGACAGTCAAATGCATAATATAAATTAACTGTAGTTATAAACAATAATAATGTTAAGCTAGATACTAACTCAGTATTCTGATTGTAATTCAATGGTATTCTGATGCATGCTCTAAGGTCTTATGAATACTTATAAGCGAGGTGATTAAGATGGAAGATGTTTGATGGATGATAGTAAGAATGACCTTCTGTATCGTTCTTTGTTACAGATCAGAAGCTTAGGTCTTTTTACTTCTGACTGATATTTTTATTTGAGGGAACAAGGGATGTTTATTGTCCAGCAGACTTTGTGCTGTTGAAGCAGTTGCTAGCACTGTAAAAACTCTACTAAAACTAAACCGCCAGGGTTGGTCCTGACAAGTAGTTTGAAGCATCCTACTTCCTAAATGATATAAATGGTGTCAACAGGAATGTAAAATGTTTATTGTAATTCTTTCATTCATATCAGAAGATGTAGATTTTTTTCTTTTAAAGGGGTATCGACTGGAGGTATTGTAAAAACTAATTTTTTTTCATTTGCAAAACTGAATCCGGTCAGAAATTCCTTGGACATTTGGCTTTTGTTGCATTTGCTCTTTTTCATACAGTGATGCTCAGTCGTTTCTTGTTTGTTGGTTTCTTTTGTTACATTTTTTTGGTTTTTTGTTGTGGGTTTTGGGGGGGGGGGGGGAGGGGAGGGATTGTATCAGTACAAATTTTGCATACACCTGAAACATAATCTGCCAAATATACAACTGTTTTTTGTTATTAAAACATGATAATTGTAAGTAAGGATATGAAAAGATTTGGTATTTTAGAAATACTCTTTACTACTTTCGCATTCCTCAGACGCCCTGACAGTCCAAGGTATCTGGTAGTTCCAAAGAGTGAATGAAGTGCGAAGTCTCCCTTTTTTTTTTCATCACTTGTACTTCTCTCGCTCAGGTTTTTATACCATTCTGCCGATTACATTTATGATTTGGATGAATGTTTGCGTTTATTTATATATACCAGTTGTATTGTGCTTTTTTTTTAACACCTTCACATTAGCTCATAGTTTTTTGTCTTATGCTTGGCCACTTGTGCATAACTATAAGGAATGTTATGGTTGTTACATCCTACCATTTTTCACCGTTCTCTATGGAAGAACGATGTGTTTAACTGCCTTTTTCCCCTTCATTGTATATATCGTCACATTGTTTCAGTGAACTGTATTGTGGAGTTATCTTATCTAAATTTTGTGTCTAATTGTTTCTGAAAGTAAGGTATACCACCCTCAGCCCCCGCCTCCCTTTTTTAAAAACTGCTTGACCAATAGTGTGCAACATCCAGGGTCACTGTGGAAATTACAGTTGGCTTACAGTTATGTCTAACTGGAGAAGAAACCAGTGGGCTTTGATTATCAAAATGTGGAGGAGAGGGGGAAGGGATACACTTTACTTTAACCAACTTGTAAATAGTAAAGACATGATTGGCGCTCATATGATCTTATGCAGTTGCGAGCGCCGTAGAACCCTCTACTATAAAAAAAAAGACATGTTTTTTAAGTAAACGAGGGTCCCCAGCTCTGCAAACTGGCATGGTACTAATGGAACTTGTTTCATGCCCTCCTTGTATTGAACAAAAGGACATATTCTAACAAATACATCATATTCAGTGTGTAGGCTATATGTACATATAATATAATATTATTATTATTATATAGACACAAATAGCTTAGTTGAACTCTACTTTGAGCAGTTGATTTGTTTTACTTGTGGAGGATGTAACGGACAGAGGACATGTGGGAGCAAGTCGACCAACTACCAATATTCGTCTGGCTTTTTATCGTGAAATTGAATGATATTCGACTGTGAATTGTAAGGGAAGCTAGTCGGCCAGCATAGTTTCTTGAATGCTGCCATGAATTGCTTCCCTTTAATGTTATTTTTGAA